TCACCTGAAAGGCTGACAAAATACTACAACAAAAGTACCTTAGACTGGGAAGTTGATGAACAACAGCCCTACTGCTTATTTCTCACCACTATGGAAGCTGGAAAGTCTAAGGTCACGGTGATGGCAGGTGTGCCTCTCTTGAGAGATGTTAGCTTTTGCTGTGTTCTCACATCGTGAAAGGGAAGGAAGAGCCAAAAGGTACAGCCAGACTTCCGTGACCCCTTTGATAAGACCTGCTGCCATTCCTAAGGATTGAGCCCTCCTCTTGAGACTCCACCCCTCTAGACTATTTATACTATTGTGATAGGGATTAGGGATTAAGCTCGTGTCCTCCTCTGTCATCGCTGGCACGGTCCTGTGTGGCCCCCTTGGTCTGTGCTTTTAACCCTCCCTAGTGCCACTAGGTCCAGCCTCCCTCTTCTCAGCCGTCTGCTTTTGCTCGTCACAAACACACACTCTAGGCAGTTTTATCACATGTTCATGTATAGTTTGTACAAGCCAAAGCCATGTGGAGTTGCCAGGAAAATGGTTCTCTTAGGGAAACAGAGGAAACTGGTATTTATCAAGCCTGGCTTCATTTTATTTAGATACTGAGTGGTGCCTGATCCTCATGCCATCTCTTTGCAAATCTGATGGGTGAAGGGTATTAAGGTGTGGGTCTTTATTTCACTCCAGAGTTGAGGGAACTTCATCTGAGGTCAGATCACTTGCCCAGGGACACTCAGCTGGCATTGTGTGGCAGAATTCAGAGACATGAGGCCCTCCCTACTGGTTCCTTGAGCTCTTTAGAGAAACCGAGTTTGCCTTGTTCTGAAGTGTCCCCTCTGAGGTCAGCCACAGACTTCCCTACATGAACTCCCCTCCCAGCCCTTCCTGCCTCCAGTCTGAGCCCCAGCTACCCGAAATTGCGGGTTCTCGCCCTGCTCCTCCAAGCCCCCACCAGCGGGCCTTTGGTTCCCAGTGAACGACTGTCTTCCCAGCACTACTCTATTGCCAGCTCAGTGCTGACAACTCGGGGTGCTCTTTCCTCCCTGAGCCACCCTTCAGGACCGTCTTCACACTTCACCCTCAAAATCTTACATTATCAAACAACTAAGTGAAAGGTTCGGAATGAGGCATAGCATCATCATTTCTCTCAAGGTTCCCAAGCATGCTCAGGGGCAACCAGGGTTGAGGCCACACCTTGGTACCCTTCACCCATCAGTCCATGGCTACTTTACTGAATGGGATATTTTGCAACAGGGAGGGAACACTGAGTTTCAACCTTTCTGTTTGTTTTTATCAGCCCCGAGTCTTGCCCTCCATTCTAGCTGATATGGCTAATTATTCACTGGAAAGAATGCGGCAGTCACACCTTTGGTGCAGGGAGGTAGACCACAGAGCCTGCTGACTCATGTGGTATCACTTGATAAAGCCTATGTAGCTTGATCAAAATATCAAATAAGAAACCTATGGTTCCAGGTAATTTTCCTGTTTGCCTGTCTATGGAGAAGAGTCTAGATTCCAAATAGTAGAGCCTTCAGGTTGAAAAGGGAAGCTCAGATCACCTTCCTGACTCTCCAAGATCATTACGGATGGTACAAAGCTTGTCTACCCACTTCCTAGCACCTGCCTCCATCACAGTGCCCCTTCCCAAAAGAATCTCAAGGGGTTTCCAATCAGAGAATACCTTGGTCCACCCACATAAGCCTAGGTTCCTGGACCCCAAGCTACAAATCAATGTTGCATCCTTTCTAACTTCATAGAAAAGAGGGGGTAGAAGTATGTAAAAGGTTCTGAAAAATAAGAAGGGGCTCAGGGCCATGCTGGAACCCTGATTCAGAGCAGATCTTGCCTTCATCACAAGTCTACAGGTCAAGAAAGAGCAAGTGAGCAAGAAGCATCTGAGAACCTGCCACAGAAGCTGATGTGACAGAGTGTCCAGGTTCCAACCCCCAAGGGTTCCAGGGTACACAGGCAGCATTCCCCACTGTTTTTGTTTTGTTTTGTTTTGTTTTGTTTTGTTTTGTTTTGTTTTGTTTTGTTTTTTGCCTTCTGCCTGCCAGCTCCCCGCATTGCTTCTCATCCAATGATGTCAGAGAAGCCCCCAACACAGTATACATGGGATATGTTTTCAAGAACAGATTATTAAAGCCACTCAATGGAGTCAGGGGCTTCACCCCTGCTGAGGGTAGAAGAAATGTAATGTCCATAGACTGAGGAAGGGATCTTCATTATCCTCTGTGGTTGTTTGGTCAGTTTATTGGTGCTCACTTGGTTTTTTTATCTGAAACCAGACGCCTTGCCAAGTGTTTCTCAAAATGGATAAATTATATTTTTTAATAGCTTAGGACTTGAAAGATCAAAGTTAGAGCAGTTTTTAAAATCATTAGTAGGTTCCCAGGTAGACTGAAAACTTCTAAGAGGACCATGGGAGTAAGACAGAGGGATGTCCATGTTCCTTCATGTTCTCAAACATCCAGTTTCCTGATAGCAACATCTAAAACCAGAACAGCCCTGAGGATATTTATTTCTGGAGGGTGTGGGCTATCTCA